AGACAAGTGTTAAGTTCATTACATAGCACAGGTCAATGAACTCAAGATATATCACTATACCCTCCAACATTATACTTATATGTCAAACAAATAAAGATGGTTGCTCTGCAATGTACAGTGGCACCTTTCTGAGAGCACGAGATGTGATCACATAGTTCATCCACTCCACAGTGAGACGCCTGCACAGCTGGATCGTCTGAACGTGGCATTTTCCTGTTCGGGCGAAGGTGGAGAAGAGGAAGCACATACAGAGGGCATCATCGATATCACGGAGAGCATCGATGAAGGAGGGGTATCTGTCAAAAAAAAAAACAGAAGCACAAGTGAGGCAAAAACCTAAAAAATATTTTTTATCTTCCACAAAAAAGCACACTAAAAAGTAGTTCATTAGTATTTTAAAAGCTCTTAAAATCTGTCCATATGCTTCTTTTCATTACAAACAGAACTTCTCATATTGTGCAGCTGCCAAGTCGTTTCTGCTGATGCACTCTGATTTGAATTAACACCAGTAAAGCTCAACATTGCCCTCCTATGTTGAGCGTAGAGAATAACACGGTCTCACCTTTCTTTGATGATGTGGTCCAATTTGTAGGTCGGCTTGTTCTCCTTCAGTCTCTCCACAGCAGACCATTCTGTTTTTCCGTAAGCCTTCTTAAGTTTGCGTACAAATATCTGTTATGATTAAAAAGAAAGAAGAAAAAAAAGACAGTAAGACAATGACCACATTTAATACCATTACTGTAGAAAATGTCCCCAGAGAAACAACAAATTGCGTTTACACAAAGCAAAACTTTACAAAATCATGTACTTTCTTTTTAAGCGAGGGTGTCATTTAGTCACAACAGAAATCCTTTTCTAAATAAACTCCTGCTTATGTTCATATAATGCTGCTGAACTCAAAATGCCTGTGATACCTTGTAGTCTCTGAACTTGCCAACGATTGGCTCGTGCAGCAGAAAGCGGATGTCTTTGAGCAGGTAGAAGGTCCTCGGGGCGGTAGAGCCCTTGTTCACCTTCTTCTTGTGCTTGGGCTCATGAGGGTAGATGCCTTTAAGGATGCACAGTCGCCTGAAAATTAGAGAGAGATGAGGAATTATTTGTTAGTGACATGTTTGGATGCATCTTACCAGTCAGGCATCCTGATATGGAACTGATTCTTAATAATTTTATTTGCTTAGGAGTAGGGTGAGGTGTTGTGATGTATATCATGTAGTGCTGAGTGTTTAATGATAGATAAGTAAGGGCTGACAATTTTTAGGATTTATTAGTCATTAAGTCAATATTTAACAAATCTAAACACTGGCTGAAATGTGAGGATCTGATGCTTTTCTCTATGTCAAACAAACAAATAAAACAGGCAATTTGAACACACCATTTTAGGGTCAGTAAGACTGAGATATGTGTTTGTCAATATTTCAGACTAGCAGTTGACTACTGTAACGGTGTTTCCCTGCAGCTGATTCAGAACGCTGCTGCTCAAGTCCTTACTTAGCCAAAGAAAGTGGACCACATTACTTCACTTCTGAGGTTTTCACACTTGCTGTCTCAGAGGACTGATTTCAAAATATTACTGTTGGTTTATAAAACACTAAATGGTTTAAGGCCAAAATACATTTGACCTTCTGCTACTTCTGCTACTGCTTTATGAACAATCGAGACCTCTCAGGTCATCTGTGACAGGTCTGCTTCGTGTCCCCAGAGTCAAGACTAAATATGGGGAAACAGTGTTTAGTTTTTCATGCACCATATATCTGAAACAAACTCCCAGAAAACGACAAGTCTGCTGCAACTCAAAGTCAAGGCTGAAGACTTTTCTGTTTGCTGCTGCCTTTCATTAAATCAAATATTTAGTCATTCCTTACACTGCATTGTTACTTTTATTCTTATATTATATACAGCACAGGCCAAAAGTTTGGACACACCTTCTCATTCAATGCGTTTTCTTTATTTTCATGACTATTTACATTGTAGATTCTCACTGAAGGCATCAAAACTATGAATGAACACATGTGGAGTTATGTACTTAACAAAAAAAGGTGAAATAACTGAAAACATGTTTTATATTCTAGTTTCTTCAAAATAGCCACCCTTTGCTCTGATTACTGCTTTGCACACTCTTGGCATTCTCTCCATGAGCTTCAAGAGGTAGTCACCTGAAATGGTTTCCCAACAGTCTTGGAGGGGTTCCCAGAGGTGTTTAGCACTTGTTGGCCCCTTTGCCTTCACTCTGCAGTCCAGCTCACCCCAAACCATCTCGATTGGGTTCAGGTCCGGTGACTGTGGAGGCCAGGTCATCTGCCGCAGCACTCCATCACTCTCCTTCTTGGTCAAATAGCCCTTACACAGCCTGGAGGTGTGTTTGGGGTCATTGTCCTGTTGAAAAATAAATGATTGTCCAACTAAACGCAAACTGGATGGGATGGCATGTCGCTGCAGGATGCTGTGGTAGCCATGCTGGTTCAGTGTGCCTTCAATTTTGAATAAATCCCCAACAGTGTCACCAGCAAAACACCCCCACACCATCACACCTCCTCCTCCATGCTTCACAGTGGGAACCAGGCACGTGGAATCCATCCGTTCACCTTTTCTGCGTCTCACAAAGACACGGCGGTTGGAACCAAAGATCTCAAATTTGGACTCATCAGACCAAAGCACAGATTTCCACTGGTCTAATGTCCATTCCTTGTGTTTCTTGGCCCAAACAAATCTCTTCTGCTTGTTGCCTCTCCTTAGCAGTGGTTTCCTAGCAGCTATTTGACCATGAAGGCCTGATTCGCGCAGTCTCCTCTTAACAGTTGTTCTAGAGATGGGTCTGCTGCTAGAACTCTGTGTGGCATTCATCTGGTCTCTGATCTGAGCTGCTGTTAACTTGCGATTTCTGAGGCTGGTGACTCGGATGAACTTATCCTCAGAAGCAGAGGTGACTCTTGGTCTTCCTTTCCTGGGTCGGTCCTCATGTGTGCCAGTTTCGTTGTAGCGCTTGATGGTTTTTGCGACTCCACTTGGGGACACATTTAAAGTTTTTGCAATTTTCCGGACTGACTGACCTTCATTTCTTAAAGTAATGATGGCCACTCGTTTTTCTTTAGTTAGCTGATTGGTTCTTGCCATAATATGAATTTTAACAGTTGTCCAATAGGGCCGTCGGCTGTGTATTAACCTGACTTCTGCACAACACAACTGATGGTCCCAACCCCATTGATAAAGCAAGGAATTCCACTAATTAACCCTGATAAGGCACACCTGTGAAGTGTAAACCATTTCAGGTAACTACCTCTTGAAGCTCATGGAGAGAATGCCAAGAGTGTGCAAAGCAGTAATCAGAGCAAAGGGTGGCTATTTTGAAGAAACTAGAATATAAAACATGTTTTCAGTTATTTCACCTTTTTTTGTTAAGTACATAACTCCACATGTGTTCATTCATAGTTTTGATGCCTTCAGTGAGAATCTACAATGTAAATAGTCATGAAAATAAAGAAAACGCATTGGATGAGAAGGTGTGTCCAAACTTTTGGCCTGTACTGTACCTGCTTTTTCTGTTTGTTTTTATTTCCTAATTTTAATTCCATTTTAACTGCATTTAAATGTCCTTTTATAATGCGTGTTGGGTATTTCTGCCGAAATGTGCTATAAAATAAACTTGCCTTGATTTGCCTTTAACTTTTGGCCATTTGGGGCTCTGCTGACTTGTATTGCGTTAAATTGACAGGTGTTTCTAATATATTGATCTAAATGGGATGGACAAAACATTATAACCATCTCAGTATAATGCAATAGAATGTATTAGCGGCATCACAATGAATCAACGCCTCTGTCTGTTATTATAACCTTCATAAAGGTAAGATGTAAAGCAGAACTCTTGGAGTCATGTAACGTCATACAGTGCTCAGCAAAAAAGTGGCAGGTGTGTGCATAACAACTTAACATCACATACACCTTTATACAAGTTTGTATCCATACCGCGCAACCACAGTATAATCGTTAGGTTACCTGAAGTCCGGGAGGCTCAGCTGCAACTTCTTGCGAGCTTTGTTTCTGGTGATGTAGTTGGTGGCAGAGCCCCTCTCAAACTGGAAAACAAGGTGAGACGGTCACATTAAATTCCCACAAGGCATATAACATTTAATCATGCTCGGGTAAAGTGGATGCTTTGGCCTAAAACGCTAATTGGCACCCAACAGAATCTACTGCTTCAGAAAAACAAACTTCAGCTAGCTGCGTTAGCTAGGTAACTTAGCTAGCCAGGTTGCTATGGGAATTAAAGTGTCTAAGCGTGACATTAGCTCAACGTCAACTCTTACCTTTTTCTTCTGAAGACCTCCCATTTACAAATGATAAGTGACCCTCCACACAAGTTTAGGTAAATGTAATTATCAACAAATTTAGCAGTTAGCAGACGGACACAGCAGTCGGTGCCAAAACCCGCAGCCGATGCACGTGTTGTTTGACATGCGCGGAGGAGCAAGCAGTAGCTAGGACCCAGAAGAGGGGTCGGCTGTTTATCCGCCTGTATAGAAACCAAAGCAAAAAACACGCACACACACTGTTGCGCTTTTGCTGTTTAAGCTGTTGCATATTAATTCACACGCACACCAGCTTTTTGTGTCTCATTAAGTTTGACTTGGCATGTGTATCAACAGCATATACATTTAGTTTGTTTGCACACATTCCTCGAAAATAAGTTCATTTTTGGTTGCAATTTTAAAACAATGTAGAAAAGGCAGGGAACAATGTCATACAATATTTTCATCCATTAAAAAACAGAGGTAAAGGTTTTACAGTGTCTACAAAATAAGTTAATTCGCAGAACTGCAAGCACGTTATTCAGATTTTAAGCCATCAACAAGTGATCAACAAACACCATTATAAGCTGTACACTCAACAGAATAAATTGCACTGAAATAAAATGCATAACTCAACCACAACCCCACCCCCTTCTCCTCTGCCTCTCTCTGGTGGGCATCAGGGATGCTTGAGAGAGATGCAGACCGGAGCTGGACATGAGCAGGGAGTGAGAAAGAAAATCAGTGAGTGAAATAAAAAGCTAGATACAGAGAGTCACAATCATAGAGAAATAAGACTTCTAAAGGACCTCTCAGAGAATGTGTGAAATATTGAATGCGTTCACCATGGGGCTACGTGACTTTATAAAGGAGTATTTTCTTTCTTTCTGGGACTATGAGACACCTAAGGTGATGGTGGTCAAAAACAGGACTCTTGGAGTCATATACAGAAGCGTCCAGTTCCTTGTGATCACCTATTTCATCTGGTAAGCTTCATCTTTGTGTGCTTGCATGTATTTGCTTAAGGGGACAATCTATAAAAGGCTTCACTAAATTCATCATTTTGATTTTTCTAAAAATGTGATCAGATGTATTGTGTGTTACTTTTAATGCTTCTTTTAGGTGTTGCAGTAAATTATTAACTCGTTTGTTTGCCACTAATTTGCTTTTGTGTGTAAAAAGAGTGTATAAGGATAAAAAAAAGCACTGTGACTTTAAAGTCTGTTTCCCATCAGCTGCAGTTTTGTGGTAAGCAAATGTCTCTCTTTTGAAATTAAATGGAAGCAAAAGCATAATTGATGGAGACATAACTGATGTGAAAAAAGGTCTTTTTGGAGTCTTTTAGTCCATTATTAGACATGTAAGGAGAGCAGTTTTCACAGACTTTCAATTTGATCTTATTATTCATCTTATTGTTTCAAATCTTAAAAAAATACTTAGAATAGATGTCTTGAGTTTAACAGATTAACTGCGTCATCTTTTCTTCTTCTCTTGGCTTCAGCAAACAGGGCTGAGCAGATCCAGGGTAATCTGATACCTCCAATATAAATTGACGTCATGACAGAAAATGTGATATTGCATCTGTCTGTTGTTCTGTCATCCTAAAGGTACGTCTTCATCAGCCAGAAAGCCTACCAAGAGAGTGAAACTCGTCCAGAGAGCTCAGTATACACGCTCATGAAAGGCACAGCAGATCATGGAGATCATATCTTGGACACAGTGGAGTATGCTCGACCTTCAGAGGTGAGTCCAGAACAAATGCTGCAATGTTATCAAGGAAGTCAGACTTCCTGTAATAATTATCAATAATGATGAAAGCATCATTATATCATGCTGCCAGCTGATGAATGATATTTTTGTGGCATTTTCCTCACAGGGTGGTGATGTAATAAGCACAATATTGAGACGAGACGTTACCTATGATCAGAAGCACGGAACCTGCGCTGAGGTGAGAGGTCAATGAAATCTTTCTCAACAATAACATCTAATAGTAAGAAAAGACAATGCCATAATCTGTCTTATTTCACGTCAGAATTTCAAAGTTGCCAAAGCCAACTGCACGAAACACTCTGACTGTGTCGAGGGAGAGGTTGACTTTGATGGCCATGGTACTGTTTTCATTCCTCACAAAATATTAAGTCACTCTTGGTTGGTCTGTATTTGCCTGAATCTGTTTGAAACACTTTCTTTCAGGCAGAAGGACTGGAAAGTGTGTTCAGTACTACAACTACACCTTCAAAACCTGCGAGATTGAATCCTGGTGTCCGATTGAGGAGTTTGCTGCAGTACGGTAAGGCAGACGATGGATAATCTCCAAGTTGGTTGGTCAAAGTCACATTTTTTTTTTTTTGATAATCCAAAAGAAAAGGACAGAAGCTGTTAAGTTTAAGACCTTGGCCTATGAAGATTTACTGGAAATAATTGTGAGAGGAGGGTAGAAGAAATACCCGCACACCAATTCAACTGAGCTGAGAGTGAGCAAAGTGCACAAGTCTTTGACTATCATCAGGGATAGTCAAGGACTGAAACATTTACTGCTGTTTTTATCACTTTTTATTATTATTTTTTACACTTTGAGCAATCTTAAATTAAAAAATAAATTTACATTTTTTTGGCATTGATCTCAGCCTGTGAATATTTTGTGGCTGTCCAGCTCAGTTGAATTGGTGTGCAAGTAGTTCTTCTACCATCCTCTCTTGATCGTCTGTTGTACCAACCAAGATTAACTTTTTTTGTTGCCCTAAGAAGGTGTAGTTTCACAGCAGCCTTAGGACTGGAAATAATTGTAAAACTGTGAAAACTGTTTTGGACAACAATTGAAATGATAGTGATTACAAATCAGAAAAAGATTAATAGGCTCCCATAAACCTTTGGTTCTCAAACAAAGAGCCACAAGACAATCAACAGAGTAGGCCTAGTACATTTAGAAGAAACATAATTCTGCTAATCAAAAGTATATATTTTTCTCAAACTTGTTTCCAGTCTCTCAGCTTAGGAGTACTGGATGTTATTGAATCTTGAAAAATCACCACCAAATGCAACCTATGACGAGGGGTCACAAGCAGACACAGCTTTGTTTTAAGGGATCACAAGCAAAGAAGTTTAGGAGTCACCACCATTAATTATAATTAGACCCACTGATGGATATTGAGGTCAGTTTAAAACATTTTTTAGAAAGTAAACAAACTGATGGTGGAAGAAATATGATTACTCTGATTTGGTGTCTTCAACAGAGAACCAGCGTTAGTGGAGGCCATCAATTTCACGGTGTTCATCAGGAACTCTATCCACTTCCCCAGATTTAAAGTGCTGAGGTAGAGTACACACACACATTCACACACACACACACACACACACACACACACACACACTGAAGCCAGAGAGCTGAAGAGATTCAGAAGACTTCCTGTCCTTGTCTTTGGCAGGGGAAATATCAAAGATGCTTCAAACAAGCGTGACATGCAGAAATACCTCAATAAGTGTCATTATCACGAGGAGAAGGAGCCCTACTGTCCAAACTTCCGCCTGGGCTACATCGCAGATCAAGCCAGGGAGAACTTCACTGAGCTCTGCAAGACTGTGATTAAACAACACATACTGTCTCTATAATATTCAAAGATGTATGTGTTTAAAATTACCTGCTTTGTGATAGTGTAGCATTGCTTACAGTGCTGTTTTTGCTCAGGGAGGAGTGATAGGTGTTTTCATCAACTGGAAGTGTAACCTGGACCTGGATCCTTCTCACTGTAAACCAACATATTCCTTCCGTCGTCTTGATCTCCGAAAGGACCAGGCCAGCTCTGGTTACTATTACAGGTGAGCTCCAACACCCTACACTGTCTTTTCTGTTCAGTATTTCAAACTGTTTGTCACTTTGGCTTGTGGTGACTTTACCAATGTGAACTCCTGTGACTTCTGTGTAACTGTCCAGGTTTGCCAAATATTACAGTAAGGATGGGGAAGAGTCCCGGACACTCATTAAGGCCTACGGCATCCGTCTGGATGTCATAGTTCACGGGCATGTAAGTGGATACTGCATCATCACTACAGTTTTAGCTCACTGTGGCTGTAATTATATTATTTGCTATCATTTCTTTCAGGCTGGTAAATTCAGTCCCATCCCAACCATCATCAGTACAGTGACTGCTATGACTTCAGTTGGGATTGTGAGTACTTAACGTTAATTTGTTTTCTTATTATCTAACAGCTAAGGCTCTTTGCACCACAATCTGTGTTTTTTCTCTTTTCATTTCACCCCTCTAGTGCACCATTATTTGTGACTGGATCATGTTGACTTTCATCGATAAGAACGAAGTCTACAGTGAGAGGAAGTTTGATGAGGTAAGTGAAAGGCATTATATAGTTAAATTGTGATTATTAAAGGTTTTATCTCACAAAGAATAGGTCATGAGATGATTTTCAAAGATTCTCAACAATATGATTAAGAATACATACAGATGTATTTAAGTACGTAATTCTGTGCACTGTGATATACAGATTTATAGTAGTTACCACAGAACCACCAAGTAATCTGACTGACAGGGGTGTTTCTAGAATTTGAGGACGTAGGGTACATAGCCTGGTCCTCTGTAGAGGGGTCCGAGAGGATCCTCTCCTGGGAAATTATTTGATAAACAAGCTCTATCTTGATGCTTTTTTATGTACTCTGGCATCTTATTTACCCTTAAAAACATTTTCCCCCCAGATTAAATACAAATTGTGACTTAATAAAAATATTAGAAGTTGTTACTAACCAGTATTAAGTAGAGACAAAATACTTCTATCAATAAAATTGAGAGAAGTTTGAGGTGCTTGTACTTGAGTACCTCCATTTTATGCTACTTTATACTTTTACTTCACTACATCTCAGAGTGAAATATTGTAAGTTTTACTCCATTACATTTATTTTTCTGCTTTAGTTACTTTGAAGACTCAGATTAAAAATACAAAATATAACCAACTAATAAATAATGATGTAATATTATAGATTAAACTACCCAGTAATATATCTATATTTATATCTATACCTTACAGTATTACAATATTCATAATCTAAGATGCTATCTAGTCTCATTAGATGATATCGTATAATGTTGGACATGTATGTTTCAAAAATAAGAAACGTTCTAATAATAAACACACAAAGCCCCCCCCCCCCAATCTAATAATATTTCATTTCAGTAATGCATAAAGCCCCCTCAAAATAACACGATATCGCTGATCAAAAACACAAGTCTCTCTGTATAAGTCTTTGGCATAGTGCACAGGAACATGTGCACTGAGTATGGGCTGGAAGTCCCGAGGTCAGAATGGAAAACACCTCCTGAGGTGGTTGAGGATGGCCGAGCTAAGATCCTGTGGGACTTCTAGATCCAGACTGACAAACTGGTGATGGCTAACCAAGCGGTCATTGTGTTGATCAACAAACAACAGACGTAGTCAGTGGTGACAGCAATCCCAAGTGACAGCAACATCAGGAAGAAGGAACACGAGAAGTTTGAAAAATACCAAGGGCTGAAAGAGGAGATAGAAAAGATGTGGGGAGCAAAGGCAACAGTGGTGCCAGTGGTAATCGGAGCACTCAGGGCTGGGAGAGTGGCTCCAGCAGATTCCAGGTACAGCATCTGACGTCTCTGTCCAGAAGAGTACAGTCCTAGGAACAGCTACGATACTGATATCGATATCATGTTATGAGACTAGATATCGTATTACATTATGGATATTGTAATATCGAAAGTGTTGTCTTGTCCTGGTTTTAAAGGCTGCATTGCAGTAAATTGATGTAATTTCTGAATTTAACAGACTGCTCTAGCTGTTCTACTATTTGTCTTTACCCATGTAGTCATTATATCCACGGATGATGATCTATCAAAAAATCTCACTGTGTAAATATTTTGTGAAAGCACCAATAGTAAACCTACAATATTGTCACAATATCAATATCGAGGCATTTGGTCATTTCCTGAATAAATGAATTAAGGACTATAGGCTACATTGGACAATGCAGCAACTCGTCCCTTTATTATATCTCTCACAGTAGTCACTAATATAGTGACCCAGTATCATAGTAGTTACTGGTAAATAAATAAAATACTACTAAAAGTACTAAAAGTAAAAAAAACAAAACAAAACAAAGCAAACAAGCAAACAAACGAAAAATGGTTTTGGTGCCCATGTAAGGAAAAATAAAGTTTTAACATATGTGCTTATTTAAGGAACGTGTCATCTAAACAAACTGATGAGTAGCCTCTGAGTTTTTACTGGAGTGATAATGCAGGACAGGATTCTCAAGTACTGATTACTGTATTTGTCTGCTTCACAGAAATAAATAGTAAAATTATAAATGGCTGAACTGCATTTAGCTGCAGCAGGTTCAGGGACCTCGTCCTGGGCGTGCCTGCTTACTAAGTGAAGGATATCTGTCCTCCGCAGGTTATCAAGGAGCCCACGGTGCCCATGCCCACAGAGCTCAGCTACATCCACAGCTACGGCTCAAACCATTCAGACCTGTCAGATGGTGTCCCGCTGTGATGTCATCACAGTTGCCTCAGTCCTCACAGGCCAAGAGTGTGGACTCTCCTCCGTCAGCTGACTGTGGCAACAACAGAAACTCTGAGTGGTTCCTCAGATGTCTGAACAGCTCAGTTATGGGCTGCCAGCGCCCACCATGCTGTCGTTAGTGGGAACAAACTGACAGAGAACCAGTGACAGAGGTCATCCTCTGGAGGACAGCTGATTGTCTTCAAGTCTCAGCCTGTGCAGTGGATTCAGCTTCATATATCGTCTCAAGCCTCGATGGACCCCAACTGTGTGCAGCAATGCAATTAATTGTTTCTCTTTCACTAGACATGACTTGCAGTAACACCACTCAGAAAATGTGTTTATTTTCTAAATATGAAAAGAAACTAAAATAAAATATTTGAGTACACATAATGAGAAACATTGCAAACTCTGCCCATTTCTATCAATGTATTGTAGACAATCAGTGCAATAAATGTCTTCTATCAACTTAAGTTTTTATAGATCAGTGTATCACGGAACATCGACCTCTGTTCTTATTAATCTGCTTTATTACAAACATAAAACTCTGTCATATTTGCAGAATCTAAATATTCTGATTCCTTTCCTTTGTCTTTATTCCTGATGTGTTCAGCATAACAAGAGATAGAGGAGGAAACAGTCAGCAGACGAACAGGGAGAGCGATGAGCAGTAATCAAATAACACTGACATTTCCCATAAAAGGGTTTCTCTAATAAGATTGTGGCGAAGTGTGAATCCATCTGGATGCCTGAGAGCAATACAAATGTCAGTGGTGAGAAATAATTTAAGATTAACGTCTGATGGATCAATACCTGCCATGATGGATGGAGGAGCACATGTCAGTTTGGAAATTGTGTGTTTATGACATTTAAAGTGCTAAAACCTCATTATTGTTATGATCTTAAATGGTTGTGGTTTTTGTATCCATTTCACTACTAAGCTCAACAATTGCTGTTTTGATCAACAATTGAAAATGTAAAGAATGTAGTTGCAGGCCCTCTGGGCGCTCCTTCATCTGTCAACCTACATGCACAGCATGAGTCAGTGAGGAGGCCTATGGAGCCAATCTAATTGTGCCTCAGATAATAGTCTGAAATGTGATTGCTTGTCTGGGAGACACCTATCAGCAGGCAAAGTGAGTCATCTGTGGAGCAATGAGGTTAAAGTGATGGAAGTGCAGGGGTTAAGATCATTGTGAACATGACTAGCTCACAGTAATCACTCAGCACCAAATTATTTTCATTCAATAATACTAAAAAAAATTAAATTATAACCAACCTGAAACACCGGATCTTTTCATATCATCAGTGAAAATGGCTAAACCTGAAAATGAATAAATAAATGAATACATTTTGAAGACTCTATGACGACTTGCCCATTCTTGACAAACCTTGACAGTCGCCCAATAATTTATGAAATCACAGCAGCTGAAAAGTGCCAATGAAGTGGGAGCATTTGATTGAGTGTGGAAGGCTACTCCAAAGCTTTGGAGCAGCAACTGCAAAGGTACGATCTCCCTTACCCAAAAAACAAAATTGAAGGAAACAAAAAACATTAACCTTCATCAATTACTTAAGGTTAGGGACAGTTTTGCCAAAATGTTTATAGTAACATAAAACTTTTGTTGTCTTGTGGTGAAGATAAGGGCTGAAGAGGACTGGCAAATACATGGTGTTTGTTGGTAGGATTTTTTGGGGCAATTTTATGTTTATCTGCATGTTGGATTCCACTGCCTTGATTCCCACTGTGCCAAGTTTGACAAATGTTTTGCATAAAATACACCGAGCCTCGTATGCATTGCCTCGTTCTGGTTTCAGCCATGCTGCGACATCTTGGTTAAATAGGCAATTTTAGTTGAATTTGCACTTCCCCATGTCGCCCAGGATACAGTGACAGCCAGCTGGCAGACAGTGGATCCTCTACTCTGGGCAAAAACAAAGTTTGAGTGCTGTTGGTTCCACTATCCTGATCTGCATGATGTAAATGTGAGAAGCATTTGGTAAATAAGAAAATAAAAAAATACAAAAAAGGATTGTAAGTTATTTAGAGATTTCACACTGCATGTAATGGAAAAAAAATCCTAGCATTTTAAAGACTTTCGAAATATTGATTTAAGACATTTTATACAAATTAAGACTTTATTTTTTGATAAATTCATTCATTGTCTTTTCAGACTTTTTAATGGATCTGTAGGAACCCTGACTAAAGAAGCATCAGACACGTCTTAAGTGTTTCACTGAAAGATGACAGATTAAACGTGGGTGAAATCGGAGCAGTTGAGGTCACAAGCCATAAAAGTCACATTAGCAGCCAAGTGAGGAGGAAGCTCAGACGACGTGGGACTGCTGATTAATGACGGTCCTCAGAGTAGATGGCACTCAGGATGTTTATGCTTTTTCCTCTGAGGCAGAACTGCAGTCCTTTTCTACAACACTGAGTAAAATAACAGCAGTAAAAACATTCAGGCTCACAGTTAAAACACTTTACATTTATTAACAGTCATAAAATGAAATTCACAAACCTACATCACTTTATTATGGCACTATTCAAACATATCTACAGTCCACACATTTCCCCTCCAACCTGCCTCACCAGTGTCCTTATTACACACCATCACACATCAAAGCTGACAAACAAGTGCATAAACTGGAAAAATTTCAGAATTCCCAGATTGAGAAGTCGTTGCTACGGCTGCAGCCGAGGGAGTGTTGGACCTCTGTGGCAGACATCACATTCAGTGAGCGCTCTGGCTGATGTGTGGGCTCATTACAAGCAACCAGTCAATGGTCTCCTCCAGGAAGCTCATGTTGTAGTGGGACGCGATGTTCCGAAACACTGTGATCTGCTCAGAGAAGCTCTTAAAATAGACAAGAGGGGGAAAGACATACTGTAAGAACAATGTCAAGTGGGAACAACTGAATGCTTTCGTCACTAAATTGAATGATGTAATGTATTTGAGAGTAGATACCTTGGCTGGGAAAGTGAGGTCAAAGTCTCCGGCACAGCTGCAGTACAGCGGCATGTTTGCTTCCTTCACTCCTTTACATTTTGTACACACCTAAAATCACAGACAGTTTTTAGCAGTGAGACAGCTTTGGGAAAATTAGTAGGTGTTGTAAAACAGATGCAGACCATTAAAGAATTCTCTGCTTTCAATATTTCGTAGGTTAATTTATGAAGAGAAGGGTTGCAACTATAAGTGTTTTCTTAATCAATCATTGGTAACATTAACATGTAATTAATTGATTAATTGTGATGGGAAGGGGGTGCAGGTGGGAGATGACATAGAAACTTATATCAAACAATACAATGTGTTTTTTTCCCCACAAATTCAAATGTAAGGCTATTAAATTACTTTTAAGGCCTGATTTTTTTTTTTATCAAATTAAACTGAAGACATTTTAAGACTTTTTAAGGACCTTCAGACACCCTAGGTATATGTCCTAACCACTAGGACAACGGACACTCCTAAAACTGTTAGGATGTTGTATGTATACAGTAAAAATAATCTGCATTTTCACTCACCAGGTCTTGCAGCGTGTAGCTCATCAGTTTCTTCTGCAAAGCTTCCACCAGAGCCATCTCAATAGACTCAGTCTCATACTGCGCCTGGCAGTTGGAGCAGAACCACTGAGGCAACACTGATCCATCCTGAGGAGAAGAAAACGCAAATTATCCAACTGGAATTAGGAGCAATAACAGCCTTAAATACAGGGTCCCACACATAGTCATGGACAAAATTTCAAAACCTTTAATAATAATAATAACCTTTGCTATACTTGCCAGGTGTTTTTATAACATGTCAGATTCATACTCTGATCAAACATAATTTCAGCAAGCTGGTGTACATGACGGGGAAGAATGTGAAGAAAATGTACACCTTCATAATAGTAAACAGAACATTGCACTTCGACACATATTAAAGCCACGTTACGTCAACAGCTACCGAAAATAAATTACGATTACTGTATAATTTCATTACAAACAACAAAATTCCATTACTTTTAAAAAACTTTCAATGATTTTTGCAAATTCCATGACCTTTCCAGGCCTGGAAAATATGATTGTGAAATTTTGTAACTTTCCTGGTTTCCCATGACCGTAGGAACCTGTAAATATCATGCCTATAGCTCCTCCACTCACTTGCGCCACAGATGGGTCCTTGCAGAGGTCAAGGTCACGACAGAAATTGCAGTGGTGGCAGATGACCTCTGGCAGGATGTAGGAGTTACAGGGGTCACAGAACTGAGCATCTGCTGAAAACTCTCCAACGTCCACCAGACGCAGGAGGTCTCTCTTCAGCTTGTTCACCTGGTTCACTATGTTGGCATCCAGTGACAGGACCTGAGCAAAGAAAAGATGGATGTGCCATGTGATGAGATGAAAATAATGCAGCACATAAAAAGAGCTCTGTAAACTGGTGTAGTTAGTAACATACCTGGCAGACATATTTGATAAACTCCAGTGCTGGGTTGTTGAGCGGCAGGTGGGATCCAGGCAGGACGGGGAACATTTCCGAGGGCTGGTTGACACTCCTGGTACCCGTCACCTTCTTTTGGATTTTTTGAGTGATGGTGAAAAAGTTCTGTGTCAGCTCGCTGGACACATATTCCTGGGAGAAGGAGATCATTCCTGTGGGGGAGAGTTTTAAAAAAACATCACATCTGTGAGGAAATCCATATAAATACAATTAAAAGCTCACCTTCACAGGTTTAAGTGTAACAGAAACTAGTCTGCGGCGACTCTAATGAGTGTAATGTAAAGTTCTTTAAAAACACAAGGGAACTCTTAGTAACTAAATTAGCTTCCAAAGACGCATCTTACCAGGAAGAGCGCTCAAATCCCCCACGGCCTGCTGGGAAGCCTGGCTGCCTCCACGTCTCTTGATTGGTGTTGCTCCAGGAGCGTTACGTCTCAGCTCCTCTTTCATGCTGTGGTAGACCGCTGCAATGTAGGCTGGTGTGGAAAGTTTGTGTTGAGAGCGTGTGAGAGTTGGTAGATTGAAAAAAAAAAAAAGAAAAAAGAAAAAAAAAGAAAAAAAAATATCTATTGTGTGTGTGTATATATATATATATATGTATATATATTTTTTTTTTTTAATTTTTTTTTTTTTACCAGAGACGATCATGAGGAAGTATTTTTGACAGGAGGCAGTTTGGGGCAGATACTGCATGATGTTCCAGTTGCTCTCAATCAGCTCCTCCACCTCATCTGTCTCTCCATCACCATCATCTTCCTCAACATCAGCTCTATCCTCATCTTCATCCTCACTGCCCTCCTCATCTCCCTCTTCGCCACTCTTTTTCTTTTGTTTGGCTCCATCCTAAAGAGGACAAAGGAGGAGGCATGAGTTCTATGTTCTGCTACAGTACTTTTAAGGAACAGTTCACCCCAAAATTAAAAAGCCACATTTTTCCTCTTACCTGTACCTGCTGTTTATCAGTCTAGATTGTTTTGGTGTGAGTTTGCTGAGTGTTGGAGATACTGTCTGTAGAGATGTATGCCTTCTTTTCAGTATAATGGAACTAGATGGCACTCAGCTTGTGGTGCTCAAAGCATAAAAAAAGAAATGAAGAACTCAACAGCAATGTTGCTTTCCAGAAATCATGACCTGGTTTCACCTCACCTTGCTCCACTGAGCTAGCTAATGTAACAACTCAGCTGAGGAGGACACAGTTTATGTTTACATCCTGTGCGGCCTAGAGCACGATGCACACTTCCTTCTGTGTAATGATACGGTTGTCAGGTTTAGTTTGGTAGAAAAAAATGGCTCCTACATGAAACTGCTCACAACAAGGTCTGTAGATTACCTCGAGTAACTGGTCATGATTTCTGGCGCTAGACATTGCTGTTGTTTTCAAATGTGCCATCTAGTTCCATTATACTGGAGAGAAGGCAGACATGTCTACAGCTGATATCTCCAGCACAGCAACTCACACCAAAACAATCTCGATTCATAAAGAACACAACAGGTAGGAGGAAAAATATGTATTTTTGATTTTGGGGCTAACTGTCTCTTTAATCAATGCAAATATATTTTAAGGCAGAAATCACAGTTTGAATTACCTCTCCATACATGACGCTGGAGGGCAGTTTACCCTTCACACCGCCATAGTTGGCCGGATCCATCCACAGCAGGAACTCCCAGCATCGGGAGAAGGAGATGGACAAAGAGTGGAAAATTTCTCTGGAGTGGATGCTGAAAGACAGATAGTGAGAGAAGTGATTTTATGATAGAAGACGTCTCCTTTTTTAAATAAAATTAAATAAATGTCTTTTAAGTCACTAGCTATTGCCAAGTAGGTAGCAATGGTGACTAAGCCCATTGCTCACTGATGAAAGCCCTCGGATTTGCAGTATTATGAAATGGGTGTCTGTGGGAACATTCCTGGATAAAATCACAAGTGACGCACATTAAGTGATGCGTTTTTCAATCACCAAGCAGTTGTTGGTGCACCAAAGAGGGTAGGTAGAGGTAACGCAACAGACCTGCTCTTCAACTTACTTGCGTGTGATGTTTTATTTTTTTCTTGGTTTGAAAGTAAACTGTTACTACGGCCAAACAAACAAAATAGAGCGATGACAAGGGACGATGAAACTTCAGATACAAGTGCACAAAACACCTGCAGTTACCACTTATTGCCACCGGTGACGCCAAAGAGAACAAAACCAAGATCTTCCACATTGTAACTTTAAGGTGATATTACTACTGTACTTTCAAAAGGCATTCAAACACAGGAAGATGTGCAGAAATGATCATGGGCAGCACTGACCAAACACTTAAAAGCATTTGTTTGTCTGTTTGCCACAGATGAGTTCAGAAATGCTGCTGTAATGCTGCATCGAAGGCAAGAAAAGCATTTGATGTTAACCATAGCAATATTATAATAACAAAAAACCCCTAAGATATTTTGTTTCGTGTTACAATATTGATTTTATTATGATATATTGGCCTAACTTCACTAATAATGGTTTTCTCCATTAGTCTAATGGCCGGTTCTTCCCTACAGTGTTTGCTTTATAGAAATCATTTCCCGTGATGGAGACCGCAACACCATCTCGGACAAACAACTAACTCTTCTAATGGACAATTATGTTTTTTTCCCTTCTGATTTTAGTGTTGCTTTTATTTCAGACTTCTGAGGACAAACAGATACAAATACAGTAGTTCTTTCTTTAAATACAGTTACATTTGTTTACATGTTTTATATATGGATGAACTGTGGGTCTGAGTGTATGTTTGTCAATCATTTTGGATGTATACATGACAATATTTATTGCACAAATTGACTGATAACATGCCCTTGCAATGCACAGACACACTCTCCAGAGGTGTGACCTGCAGGTATGTTAATGTCTGACCTGTTGGTGATGTACTCCACATAGCCAATGGCATCATCTATCCTCCGTTTCTTTGTGCACAACATGATCCTGTTGAAGTTTCCATACACCACAGTGGAGCCGAGACGTTTGAACTCTGACACCAACCTGACGGCAGAATCAAAGAATGATTAATGACAGACAATGACACCGTTTGCTGTTGTGCATTTAAAAGGTGGGGAGTTATCAATGCGAGGAAAAAGTATCAGGATGAGAATCAGAGCTCACAGCATCCTGTAAAGTTTTCCAACAGGCATCATACTTTTAATCCAATTCATAACCAGACATCAATAATATATAACCCAAGGAGATTTATAGCAATTAATAGCTTTGTCTTCACTAGAGACCCTAAATGCTCTCTGACATGAGCAGGTGCCTGACATTTTGTCTACTAAAGATTTTACCATCATTTTAAAATATAGTTTGTTTCTGCAGTAGAGAGGTCGACGTGACACTCACTGTAGGAACACCTTCTTCATCATGTTGTGCAGGGTGCGGTGCAGTGCAGGGTCATAGAGCAGAGAGCTGGGGGAGCGCAGCCAGCGGTAGAAGTGCATCACCTGGTTGTCTGCATACACGTTGTGGTACTGCGTGATCTCTCTGACCCAACCAACCACCATGCTCTTCAAGATCCTGCTCATACATCACAGAGCACACACTAAGGTGAGCAAAACGCAACAAATAAAACGTGACATGCTTCCTTGCCATATGCATGTGGGTTTTAGATAATCTCACACTACAGATGTTTGCACACCTGAAGGTGTTGGAGCAGAGAGCGGTCTCATCGTAGCTAGCGACAGCGCTGGCTCCCTGGTTCCCTGACATCATGTCCTCCAACGAGGCCTGCTGGATCACATCAAAGCTGACACCCAGACTAGCTCCACCTTCCATGTCATTGACATGCTGTGATTGGAGGATGGTGTTCACTGCCAGGCTCTGCAGGTCCAACTCCACACACACTGAAAGAAACAGAAACAAGATTGTCTGTAAATGAAGAAAAATATGCTACAAAATGTACCATAATGAATATTTGCTTTTCTTGGACACAGATTAAGTGAGTACCTGTGGAATAACATCCTTGAGCATTGATCTCCACGGAGCCCCTGTCATCACTTTCCATGACAAGACGACTGTCATCAGCCTCTTTTCCTCCCAGGTCGGGTCTGGCTGTGGGTGAGAGCCACAGCAGGTGGTTGTGTTTCCGTAGATGTCGTGCCAGGAACAAGTCTGAGCCAAAGATGGACACATCCTGAGGCAAGTTCCCAACAGGTAAGTGGTAATACCTGAAAGAGAGAGATGATGAGAGAGAAGTGATACAAGAATAAATAAAATTAAGAAACTGTCCACCCCATCTTCTCTGGGCCGGTCTCCTCTGTAGTGGGAATATGTAGGTCGTACCTGGCCATGTCGAAAGCCTGCGACAGGCAGCTGTCCAGGTTGAGGTAGTGGCGGATCATGCGTCGGGCGCCATGGCGTTGCCAGTCCAGCACATTATAGCTGATCTCATCAACCACATGCACTGGAACAACTGGAAACTCCTCAAGCACCGGCATCCCTGCTGCCAACCGCCGCAGCTCCCAGTTTGACTGCACAGCAATGAGGGTTGGCCCACGGCGCTCCTCCTGTATACAGCGACAGATACTTGATTATACACCAATTTAATCACATGACCTTAACAAGTAACATCTGTGTTGGTGATCAATAGAAGTACAGCTCCAATGTATTTTACCTTGTAGTTCAGGAGTATGCGCTGCAGTGCACGGTAAATAGCCTTTGCATCGTTTTCAGCTCGGACCTCAAAGTTGTGTTTCTCTGGAGGCAGAAGCTCCTCGGTCGTCTTCTCCAGGAGAGCAGTGCGTTCAGTTGTGTAGAGGTTAGTCAGGTTGGGCATCTGATTGCTTCTGACCTTAGGAGATAAAATAAGGATGGCCCTTGAGGGTTGTGTTTTTTGCCAGCTGAGAGGGGCATCAGTGACCTCAGCCTTTCAAAAGAGTTGCAGTGCATTTGCTGGCACTGGAGGAACCTCACTCGACAAGATACGAGTCAAAACACCAACACAATGACAGAGGAAGAAATAAAGTGTATTGTTCTTACTGTGTCCAGGACAAAGATGCTGGCTTTGCGCTGAGAGGGGATGAACAGGCCAAAAAGAGCCTTGTGACCCTGACTGTGATGATACAGGTACATGTGGCGAACGCTCCCTGAGAGGAGAGAAAACATAATAAGTGACTAAGTTTACATGCACAGTAACGTTCCACTAATAATTCAAATATTCCAATAGTCATATTCATACATGAATTTAATACGTGCCATGTAAACAGCATATTATGTTCAGATATTCCAAATGAGGCCTTTTCCAAAAGTAGCACTTTTCTATTAAGACATGTGGGATATGCCGATATTATTCGGATTTATGAGCAGTCTTTACATGCACATGCAGAAAACACCCCTCAAATGGGTTTTTTAGCTGCAATCTGTGACCATGGCCTCTTGCCTGTTTACAGTCAGCTCTGTGGGTTGTCATGTACGATGTACACAAACCAACTCCCCAACAGTTTGCAAGGCTGAGGCAGAAATGCCTGCCTAAAAGAAAAGCTCAAATTTTTGGCTGAAAAAAAAAGAAGAAGAAAGAAACACACTGACTTTAAACTTTTATAAAAGACTTGGATATCAACAGGTTGTTGGATATGCGCAAATATTGCAACACCAACCTTTTCAAGAATGTGGCTGAACAAATGAAAAAGGAAGGCTGTGTTTGCATGGTCAAACAAGTCTGCCGCCAGTGGAAAACCTTGGAAAAATCCTTTTTTAATGCAAACAAGCAAAAGGCACAAGTGGCTCTAGCTGTTTCACTTTTCCATATTTTGACATGACAAAGACGTGTTAGGGCATGTTAATCGGAGAATGCATGCCTGCATGTAAACATGACTATGAGTGGAATACTCACATTCATTAGCCAAGTTAACAGCTTAAGTACTGGAATATTTTGCGCATGTAAATGTAGTGAGTAATGAAAACTTGTTATTATAAAGTTCATGAACATGATCCCATGATATAAGGCCAAATATTAGGTTGGAGGGAGAGCAAACAGTACATAAAAAAATATATATACAAAAACAATAATCCCTATAAGATCATTTTGATATCAATTTAAGGCAAGTAGTGTGAGGTGGGTCTTACCAGGCTCCAGGTAGCTGAACTGAGCCAGAGACCTCATCTCCAGGTGCTCCAGGTCAAAAGTGTCGGCCTCCCTGCCGGCCATATCCCTCACAACATGTTTATTGACCATACAAACACATCCGAGCTGCACCAGTGCACGAAACAGCAACGGGACCTGAAAGACATTGTGTTAATGCGTCATCCTTTTTACAAACGGAACTCACAGACACACTGTACACACAAAGAGCATCATGAGTGGAGGTGTGTATCTGATACCTGTGTTTCATAAACTCCTTCAATGTCTGGGGCCGACAGGTCAGCGTTGATCTCATTGATGTGCTCCTGGTACATGTCTTCTGGTACACAGTACTCATAAAGGTAGTACACGATGTTGGAGCGAGGCAGCATGCGGTTCACCTGAAGCAAAAAAAAATACATATATTTGGTCAACTTATTAAGCCACATTTAATATTTAAAATAACTCCAATGCATTTTACTACATTTTCTTAATGCATGCCTTTTTGTATGTGGCTCCCTCCTCCTGTTTTGGGACTTTCTGGTTGACATAGAAGACACGTGGGATGTTGAGCTTCATACAGTGGAGGTCGTGTCCAATTACAGCCCATAACTTGTACAGACCGGGGTGACTAGTCTCTGCAATCTGAGAGGCAGGAAACAGGACAACACATGAGAGAAGATTCGAGGATTTTCTTTGGATTTTGATATTTGCTAAACCGACTCAAGGATGCTAACAGGGTGACTTTTCCCCACCTGCACAATTTGCCATGGCATGTCCAGGATGCTGCGTGCAGTTCTGCGGAGGAAGCTTCCCAGGCCGGTGGTGGGGCCATCTCTGATCACTCCTCCCCCTACGGGTTGAGCTTCACCATCCAGCAGCCTCCTCCTCTTCTTCCTCTCCTTCCTCTGCCTCAGCTGCAGCTCCCACTTCTTCTTGTGGTAACGCAGCCACACTAGACGCTCCTCCTGTGCACAGACACAGTTTTTTCTCAAAAGTTTTGTGATATCTCAAGTAAAATACCTCTGGGAATGCTGTATCCGCACATAATATCTGTGTAATTTCCAACATATTCAGAAGGCATTAGAAACACAACAGTCTGAAAAGACACAAGAGGCAACACTTTGTGCTTGTTGCTGCGAGCTTACCCGTGTTTTTCCCGTAGGTGGGGGCGGCCCCAGGATCTCTCTCCAGGACTGAGTGAGCGCAACATCCTGAGACTCCACCTGGCTGTCCTCTCCCTGAGAGGCCCGCTTCCGTTTGGTAGTGATGGGAATGGCTGGCTGCAGAGGTCTGGCTGGCATTCCAAAGTCCTCTATGTCTGCAGCTTGGCCTGCTTCAAGAGGCTGATGGGCCACCTGAGAGAGAAGAGGTCGTTAGAAAAGACCCTTGAATGCAGCGCAGGCAGAACTTTTTTCCCTTTGGCAGCAGTTTTTTGAGTTTTGAGTCACGAGGTAGATAATTGATCAGTGGATCTCATGAGATTGACGGATGAGAGGAGCAGCTGTTTGTGAGTGAAGGCAAACTTTTAGACTCAGCGCACTGACGGTTTCACTTTCACTTCTTTTGGGCCCTCCGTCTATGGAGCAAATAATAACTGATATATGTATATTTTAGAAGCGCATCTAATGAATGGTCCAGCTCCGAAAATAGAAAATAAAAATGTGGAGGCAGATGTTTTAATTGTGGTGGCCCGCCACATTTTAATCAATGTGTGGGAAACCCTGGGAGATAAGACTTGAGAGAGGCTGACTACAGTATGATGCTGAGGCTGTGGTGATGAGTTCAAGTAGGTAAAATGAGTCCATCATCCATCTCAATGTAATATACTGAAACAAATGCATATATGACACAAAAAGTCAACTTATCACTTTGGCTGGAAAAAATAAATAAATAAATAAATAAATAAAAAAAATGCCTGGCCGGTAGATTTTTTTCATCTACCAGTCTATCAATCAAAAAGCAGTCAGTCTCTAGAGGTGCTTTCACACCTGCCCTGTTTGGTTCAGTTCAATCAAACTCAAGTTCGTTTGCCCCCTGAATGTGGTTTGTTTGGGCAGGTGTGAACACAGCAATCACACCTGGGTGGTATCAATCTGGTTACAAACACCCTGGTGCGGTTCATTTGAGCTGAAAACATGTTCCAACCTTGATCCAAACCAGCTGCAGTCACATTACACACTGTTTGGGTTAAACATGAGTATGTTTATGTATTAATGTGCACCTCCTCCTGTACTGCCTTAATATGCACATTTGGCTCATCCAATGCATCAAAACATTGTTTTCTAGTTGGAGCCATGCCTCGTTTTGAAACTGTATGGTTTGACTAAAATGAACAATGACAGCAATATAGTCCACGATGACCAGCGCTAAAATCAACCTGCGTAGTTGTCCCTCCATTGTGACATTAGAAAGTGTCGCATTTATCTTGCAAGTGTACTCTTCTTCAACATTTGGTTTACTTCCTGGATCTTTCCCGTATGGAAATTCTGACCAATCAAGAGCAGCTTTCTCGCGCAAGGCATTTTATCTGGTCAACTTGTAAATGCTGCCGTGAGAACACGAACCAACTCAATTATGCAGCTTTGTAACATTAGTCCCTGATTCCAACCAAAGCAAGGCAACTCTAGGTCTGAAAGCACCCTAAAATGCATGATGAACCCACCGATGGGGGCAGAGGACTGAGTTGACAGATTGATCAGACATTTCGCTGTGAGGTAAACAAACCTGTCTCTTGCCCTCGCTGGTGAACAGCTCACTGATTTTCTTTTGCTTGTAGATATCATTTTTCTCCAGGAGTTTCTTGTGAAGCCAGTCAGGGTGCCTCACTCTGGGCACTGGATTCTTAACCTGATGATACACAGAAACAATTAAAATTCTGTCTGTGTATCAGGCTGAAACAGACTGAGAGACCAATGAAATGTGTGTTATTTTACCTGCTGAAGAGCTGCAGGGATGGTGATGATTTTCTGGATGGCGCTGCCCAACCTCTCTATGTAATAACTCCAGTCAAGGATCTAGAAAGGCCCAGCAATGGAAATTTTAATGTCAGAAGGAGAAATTCACACATACAGCCAGAAGTATCCATGCACATAAAATGTGTGTATAAAAACTCACAGAGCGGATGTCCAAGTCATGCAGGCTGGGCATCTTCAACCACTTACGAAGGAAGTGTTTCTTCACACTGGGCTCGGCCTGGAAGATAGCCAGAGGAATGGCTCTGATGGACAGAGATACAAATCAATCATTGTCAAGCTCAAAGCTTTTACTTCCGATAATATTACAAAGTGCTTGTTCTCCACAATCATTTAACACTGGAAAAGCAACTCTGACATCACTTTATTTTGGTCCTGCCACTATCAGAAAATCTAAAGCATCTATCATCATGGCAGTATGTTGTCTTTGTTGTTTTTTTATTGGTGCTGTCATAAAGAGGGGAAGGGTGCGATAAATCATGCAAATGAGGATAACAACGCGTACTATCGAATTATATTCTCTCAGGCACATTCATAGTGCTGCTGTTGTTTGCACACAAAAAAGCCTCAGAAGTAGTTCTCTCTGCAACAAAATTGCTCTTGTACAACCAGATAGCAACTTATTGAAGCCTGATTAAAGCAAGTGTAAGTCGTTGCATCATTGTCATATCATCAATGTCACTTTCATGTCTTATATTCTGCACCCCACGTGGCTCGGAACTTGACACAGTGAAATGCCACTAAAGGTCAGAGTTCCTACTTGTAAACTCGGGGCAAATTGGAACAGGCCAGATCTGACTCCTCCACTGTCCCACTTATAAAAGTTTATTTTCAGAGATGTTGTCCTACCTCTCTGTGACAGGTGAACCCTCAGGTTTTCTGGAAATGACGTAGCGACAGCTCAGACCAGCATCTTTCACCATTTGGTCTCCCAGGAACTCAGCCAGTCTCTTAGCCGTGCTGATAGAAGTTGACTTCTGCTCTCCGTAGTCCTCCAGTTTTCTGGACATCGAACGATTTTCCGAAATCAGTTCGAACAGCTCCGTATCTGGCATGTTGGCAGCCTGGAAAACCAGTGAAATAAATCAATGAACGCTTTGTAAAGAAGATCACTGAGCATTCTCTGCAAATGATAGTATCAAATCACGTCTGAAAGTATGATGTAAATATCTTGTCATACCAGAATTTAATTTAAAACTGTTTGATCACAGATTTTTACCTTGCTGTACAGAACATCCAGCCAGTAGTCAGCCACTTTGGCCACAGAGGCATACACCTCCTCAAGAGAGGTACCTTTGAGAAAAGCCTCAAACACTGATGACTGAAAAATCTTAATGAGCTGGAGCTCTCCTCTTCTCTTCACTTCAAAACCCTTCAGCTCAGCCAGAGAGCCATCCTCATTGAACACAGCGTACCTAAAACGAACATGGAACGTCCAAGTCATCATCACAATCCCCTCACATTTTAATTTGAACCTTGCCCATTTACTAATGTTGGTAACAAATCTGTCCAATACCACATTTTATCACAGAAAAACAAAATCCTCTATTGCTGTACCTTTTCTTCAGTTTCTTCCCTTCCTCCTTGGAGGCGGGCAGGATCATGGCCAGGTACGGTCCATCCACCTCAAAGAAGATGCTGTTCTCTGACCTGATGTTGTACGTGATGGTTGCTGGGTCGACCAGCTCGTGGTACTGATCGTTGGTGAAGCCCTCCTTCACCATGATGTTCAGCATGGCCCCTGGGTAAGAGATGGTCACCTTGGGCTTCTTCTCATTGCTGGTTTTCACCACAAAGTTCTCAGGGAAGGTGTTGGGGAGGACACACCAGATACCATCAGTGTCCAACTCAAGGGGCCTCCTGAGTCGCAGAAAAGTAGACGTTTAAGATGTGACATGTGTGAAATGGAAATTTATTGCAGTGTTTTTCGGTTTACATAACACGCTGCTGTTCAAATCTTCAGTTGTGTAACTATTACTCCGACCTGCAACGTAAACAATAATTGCGACTAAAATACAAGGGGTAGAAAAAAAATGAAAGTAAGATCAAAACAATGCTGCAGGAGCTGGAAACAAGCCCAAACATTGGCAAGAATCTGCTGATGAAACGTTGTTAAACAAGATAATGGATCACGTCCAGCTCCATTTCTCCTGACTTGGAGATGACCTGGCACTGACCAGAAAGGTAATTCCTGTGATGAGGTATCTCATTATCGATATGACACTCACCCTATTTGTTCGATGAGCTCTCTGGCCTGAGTGATTATGTTGGCTCCTGTGTAGCACACAATGCCAGCCATCTCCATGGAGTACCAGCGCGCCCTGATGGAAACACAAAGGCAGCACAGGCGACATCAGGTCTGCAGCAGAGTAACGGTAATCACTACTCAGCAGCAGCAACAGTTAGATTATGAGGATTGAATGATGACAACAGTAGTTGACTCCTACCCTTTCCTCATGACGTAGCCGTAAAAAGAGTTGAGAATACACTTGTGAGCCAACTGGAGAGAATCGTACAGGATCTCCATGTTTTTGCAGCGCTTCATCTCGGCAGCGTCTCCACTGTCCTGAGCTGCCGATAGTTTCTTCTTCCACACCTAAAGCAAAGGTAGCACAGAAAGCAAGTACTTTACAGCAAGTCATTTTGATATGCAAGAGGAATCTCAAGTAGGCTACAGCAGCACATTTACGGCATTCATAGACTCAGAGCTTGTGGAGCCAGTAACCAGATTATTTTGCTGTTTTTTAAATTATTGATTCAGAGTGTCATGCTGTACTGCAGTACGGCCTGGCTTGGAAGCCTATTGGTGAAATTTATTACTAAGTTTAGTAATTTAAGCTAAGCTTTATATAATTAACTCCAAATTTGTACACCCCTTTCAAATAGCTCACAAGAAGAGCACACTCAGTATCACTAACAGTATCTCTTCTGACTCCTTGCATGTTTTAAATGGAGAATACTAACTAGTTATAGTGAGTCATAGTCAAGTGAGTTATAGTCTGTCCTTTAAAACACAACAGGCTTAAGAATTCTTATATACATCAGTCTAAACCAAAATCAGTGTGCAGCTAATCCATCAATCCATTTTCATCCTCTTATGCAGGGCCGGGTCGCAGGGGCAGCATGCCAGGCAAAGCACCCCAGACATCTCTCTGCCCAGCAGCACTTTCCAGCTCCTCCTGGCGAACCCCACGGTTTTCTCAAGCCAGATGAGATATGTAATCCCTCCAGCGTGTCCTGGGTCTACCCTGGGCCTCCTACCATTTGGAGTTATCCTGATCAGATGCCTGAACCATCTCAACTGACTCCTATCAACACCAAGGAGCAGCAGCTCTACTCCAAGCTCCCTCCAGATGTCTGAGCTCCTTACCCTATCTCTAAGGCTGAGCCCAGGCACCCCACAGAGGAAACTCAATTTGGCCGCTTGTATCAGAGATCTTATTCTTTCGGTCACTACCCAGAGCTCATGACCATAGGTGAGGGTTGGGACGTAGGTGGACCAGTAAAACGAAGCTTCGCTTTCCGGCTCAGCTCCCTCTTCACCACAACGGTCCGGTGCAGCACCCCTATCACTGCAGACGCCGCACCAAACCGCCGATCCATCTCACGCTCCATTCTAGCCTCACTCCTGAACAAGACCCCGAGACACTTGAATTCCCCAACTTGAGGAAGTATCTATATAATGTTATATGTATAATTGTCATGACTGTTTGATGTGTTCTGTGCATCTATAAAAAATGTCACATGTGTAACTGTATGTTCAACCGCTGTGTAAATTTCTTGAATGGAGCTGCTGAAGGATCAAAATGAATTTCAGTGCAAACTAACGGTAAGTTATATGGTCAAACAGCTTTAAGAAAAAACATAAGGAAGCAAATATATAGAAATATGTAACGAACTGAAAATAGTGTACTAAAAAGGCATGGTGTGTTTTTTTAATTGCTGTATATACAAAAACTCACCTTGTGGAGTCCTTTGAACTCGTACCGCCGATCTCTGAAAGCTCTCACAGTGTCGACATAGAAGGAGTTTTCTCTCTGGCAGATGGTGGTGACTCGCTCCTCCAGCCTGGTGATGTGTGTCTTCTTATAGGCTCTCTTACAGTAGTCTGAGACGAACACAAGACAGGTCAAATGATGCTGTGGCAGCCAGTAATTTACAGTGCTTTTAACCAAAATCTAAGGAGCCAGAACAACAACAAAAAACATCAAGTACCTGCCAGACGTTTCTTCTCATGTTTGGCCTGCTCATCCCTGTTGAGAGTATGAAAGGCCCGAGGTGGACCGTTGGGGAAAAACGGCGGGAACTTTTCAGACTCAAGTTGCTGCTGGATGCGATGGAACTCACTGCGGCTGGCAGGCACTGCACACAGAGGGGAAAGATTCAGCTTTTGCAGCATTCAACCCCACATGAACCCTGCAGAGGCAATGTTGGCAGGTTTTGAGTCACATCACAACACAATTATTCAAATTAACTCACTGATCTCCCCTCTCCATTGCCAGGTCATCCTCCTCTGGCAGGAGGCACCAGGCTTGTTAAAGTCACAGGCAGCACAAGTGGCCTCATCAACCATGGCGGATGGCTGTAAAAGTACAAAATAAAGCATTGAATTTCATAATGTTTCTATATGTTTTATCCTGTGCCTAGTTCTTTTGATTTTTCTAACCTGCAGGCGGTTGGTGAGGATGATGTTGGGGTACATTGCCCCAACGTCCAGATGGTAGATAAGGGGGCATTCAATCCTGTTCGGGACCTCCTTTAGAGAAATCAGCTTCTTTTTGATCTCCTCACACACCTGTAAAAAAACAACACATTTTTAAACTTAATATTTTAGTAATAATAATATTTTAACTGAATAAAGAGAAAAGCCAGCAAACCTCATTGAAATTTGTGACTTGCTCTAAAGGAATCTTCTCCTCTTCCTCAATGGCATGTCGCATCGTCTTCTCAACTCTTTGCAACAGGAAGTCAAACGCAGCTGGGTTCTGTCAACACACCAGACCAAACTGTCACACTAAAAACATACAAAAAGTTGTAAAGCAAACAACCAGATGTAATTTGAACTGAGATGTACCATCTTGAAACGACAGGGGATGTCACTTCGAAACACTCCAGACTCCAGCGCCTCCACATGCCCGCCCACGTAGGTCTCTGAGTCCATGACGTGGCCGTCGTCTGTGAGTTTGTTGAAGACCTGCTCCTGCTTGTTGGGAAAGATGATGTTCGCGTGGAAGGCCTGCACCATGAGCAGAGCTTCACACAGAGTCCCAGAACCTTTACGCAGCACCTGGAAGAAAGGACATGAATATTTAAAAAAAAAGCATGTTGCGTTTTAGGGGTATTTCAGTCTTCTTTTACACATACACAATATACAAACCTCATCAGGCTCCATGGGGATGATGGTGCACAGAGCGAAGATAAAGGGGTGAACATATTTCATGTACAGGTAATACGTGGCCACGGCATCTGACACAGAGTAGGTGGCTAAAGTCTGACAGAGAAGTAGAAGGAAAAAGTCAATGAAATTGCAACTTTCAAAACATTTAATTCTTTATTTTCTGAGCTGTAAAAACTGATGTCCATTACTATACCTGTGGCTCCTCAGTTGCCATGCGGCACATCTCCTCCGGGTCCAGCTCCACTGGGTCATAGCCCAGTTTAGCCTTCGCGGCAGCCTTCAGATTATGACTTCCTACCGGCAGGTAGCTGTCTCTCTTTACCCACCTGACAGAGAGGAGTAACGGGTTGGAAAGATTAAAAAATGCCAATCCCAAAAAGTCCAAATAAAAAAAAATGTAAAACACAATTGAAGAGCTGTCAAGAGCATGCCAAACAAACAGGCAGCAAAATAAATGTAACCCTAAGCCACGCAAAGAAGAAGAAGATGTTGTCCACTCAAAGGCCTGGAAGAAAAAGGTATTACCAGAGGGCTACCTGGTGCAGTGAACAATGTAGCGCACTCTGACACCTCTGCTCCTCAATATATTGGGAAAGTAACTGTTCATTTTTGTGTAAACATATAAAAAGCTGGTGGTCACGTCTGCCATTGCACAAAATATCGCCTCATTTGTGACATCTCACAAAGGGAGTAATGACACACATTCTGCCATTACAAACCAAAATCTCTAAACGTCAAACTGAGTTTCTGAAAGTCTTCTGCCTATACTGAGTTTTACGAAAGATCTGTTTTCAGTGCGCATGTGGACCAAAGGCCAAAACACATGGAAAAAGCTATGTTTTGAAAAATACCTGTGACCAGCTGGACAAGGCCTTAATCCTAAATGAACCCTTCCCTCTATGTGTATGTCTAGTAAACCAAAAGGCGTGCAAACCTCAAACAGTCCATGTGGATGGCTTGACTTGACTTATACTCTCCCTGGCTATCCTTCTGGAAACCGATCTCTCTGTGCATGCTCAGTCCATGCAAGGCGGCCCGAGTCTCAACAAAAGGCCTTGAAAGAGTGGAAACAAAAAGAGAAAGATTAAAGGTGAACATCATAGTGTATAAGTACTTAATGTAATAACTTTACAGAGTCAGCAAAAAAACAGCTCACCAGTCAAAGAAGTCTCCGTTGTAGGTTACAAAGATATTTGGCTTGGTTTCTTGAACGTGATCAAACCACCTCTGAATGAGAGCCGCCTGAAGCCAAAGTCATGTTACCACATGTTATGACACTGATGCAACCACAGAGCATTATATTTATATATCAAAAAATATTTCCAAGCACTTCAATCTTTATTTGCACTGTAGTATATCTGCTTTTACGCAGCTTTGTACCTCATCATCCTCATTAAAAACAGTGAAAGGCCCCTCGTACTCAGGTTTGGGAGTGAACTCAAAATCTTCAATGTTCTCAGAGACGATCTCTCTGTTTGTGATTAAAAAGCCCTTTAAAAGGAAATAAAAAAGTAAGTAAAACTGACACATATATGAAAAACAGAATAGTACAAAATATAAATACAACTCTTAAGGTTCCCACACCTTCTTAAGCATCAAATCCAAGGCCTTTTCAAAGACTTTACAGGCCCAATTCCCTCAAATTTAAGGCATAGTTTGAGACATGGATAAAGATGTTACTTATACAACACTAAGCATTTAAACAAACTAAAACCGTCATATCAGAAGGATGGAACCCGAAAAAACATGACTGTAACAGAGTCAAGTCTGTGCGTGAATTCTTGCTCAAAACATAGAAATTCAAGCACTTTAAATGACCCATTTCTATTTGTGTCTACATTTAAAAACTTTCAAGATTTCAAGGACCCATTGGAACCTTAAACTCACCTGTCCATCAATCATGTAGGAGATCATCATTATCTGATCGCTCTGTGCGTCTGGGAACTTCAGCGGCAGTTTGGTGGTCTCTATGTCGAAAGCCAAAACAACAGGGTCCTAAAAAGAACAAGAAACAATGATTTACTAAAGTCACAGGAGATATGAGCCTGAATAAACACATATTGCAAACATTGCAACATAATTAATAAAGTCCTCATACTGGTCGCTCCACAAGATCGTCCCTCCGTACAATCTCTGGTGGGTAAGCACTGCCTCTGAATCGAACATTATACCAGTGAGCCTGAGAGATAAACACAGTAAAGATCAGAACAGCTAGCACATGTATGTTTTAAAAACATTAGGACGCCAGGATCAATCCTCACCACATGGATCTTGAGGTCAATGGACAACCGCACATGATAAGGCACATCGTACTCTCTCATGTCCACTATGTTGTCCAACTGGTCTGAGATACTCTTTGCCATCCCCTCTTCATCTGCTGACGTCACATTACCACCTGATAAGGCACTGTGAAACAAACAAAGGTGTCAGCAGAATATTAAACTGGAACCTTATTAGAAACTAATGGGACTGATGGTACCTTGATAGCATTGAGGTGTAGGTGTCATTGGACTGCTCCCTCTCTCTGTTCTTGCGCACTGCTGGGGAGACCTCACGCTTGACTTTGATAAGGTCGTCCACAGTGTTGAATGACAGCTTGACGTAGCTTCGCTTCAGTCCGACTAGATGGTTCGGCTGAGGAGGACAATGTTTGTCACTTAAATAGTACAGTAATGTGTTTTTCAAAGTGGCTGTTGTGTTGAAATCGTCTTTTCTAGCTGCTTTTATTCTTGTTATTCAATATGAAAAACTTCAAGGAACAGCGTGAAGGATTTAGTGGCATCGGGTAGCAAGGATTGCAGACTAACTTCTCTTGCTTAATTCCTTCACTGCATATTGTTCAGGAAGTTTTTTACCAGGAGCTGCATTAGGTGCAGATGTCTTTACCTCTCCCACCCCAAAAAGTTAGACTGGTAAAACACTGAATAAAGCAGTTTCATGTTACAAATCAGTGTTTCTGTGATGTTGTTTCAGCTGATCTCAGACAGGCCGCTTGCCCAGCACCTGCTAATTTCTGGTCTCCTTTTTTCTCAACAACTTAAGATCTAGTTTTCATTTTCGTTCCTTTATTTTCAGGGGAATATAAACTAAATCATACTCCATTTCTGCCTGTATAGCCCCCTAAATCCTACACACTGGACCTTTAATGCTGTCAAAGGACACTTAAAAACAAAACTCTCACCAGGTCCAGGTCCTCTTTGGGGATTACTTCAAGCTTTGCAACTTTTCCTTGAAACTTCCTCGACAAGTATGAGATGACTTCTCTCTCGCAGTTCTGAAAATGAAATTGTCTTTAAGCAAAGAGTTTTTGAATATGTTTACAGAGCTTAACAACTACACGACAGACACTGACTTACCTTTTTAGTGGCGATGTAAAAATATGGCTTGAATGGGAGGGCCACCTACAGACAGGATATATGTCAGCAGGGATATGTCACAGCAGTGGATGCACATGTTATTATTATGTTATTACAAAATTAATCCTCCCCACAACACACCTTGAACCTGCTTCCATCCTCCTGTATGAAATAGTAGTCCACAGCACTGATCATCCTCTTGTCATCATCCAGGATCTCAGTCTAGAAGTGGTACAACGTCACATTTATTATCACCTTTTCTCCTAGAGACAATCACAAAGGCCAGATGGTTTTCTGTGTACAGACTTACAGGATGCATGTTGATCAGCCAGCCTGTTTTCTCCCCCGGCTCCTTCATCCTGTCGAAGCCGAAGCGAGCGTCCATCTCGTCGGTGAACTGGCTGCGCTCCAGCCGCTTGAGGGCGGACATGGCGGATCCATCGTCCCTGATACAAACACACATAACAGCCACATTAAGTTCATGCTTTACTTCTGTTATCTATCATGTACAGTATACTGGGGTATGTAGAGTCATTTTATTGGAAGCATGCAGTCTTTCTTTGAGCTCACTGGTTTTCCTGGTCTCCTCCACTTTGTCCCCGGTCTGCTCTGTACCGTCCACTGTTCTGCAGAACCATGTTCTATCCCCGTCTGTCGGCTTCAACACGGCGAAACAGATTAAATTCCCGCTCGGTCTGTACTCGTCTGTCGGTAAAGCCGCATTTGAAACGGACTTTTAATGTTGTTTCAAAGTTTTGTCCTCTGCTTTCCTCTGTCGCTGTCACTGACGGTGCCTGTGTTTTCTTATTTTGGCGCGTTCCTGCAGTTCCCGCGAGAGCAGCGCTGAGCGGAAGAAGAACGAAGATCGTTTATTAAAAAGATGAATCACTCAGACCGAAAAATCCGCACTGCTTTTACGTCTGTGGGAACCTAAACGCTACATTCATACATTCATGCTATCTGGGTGTTACTGTAATTACTAGTTTCTAAGGTTAAAGGGAAAATTTGATATTTTTCTTTTTCTTAAAAGATAATTTTCGTTTTTTTTTTTTTACTTTAATGACAGGACAGTTGCAGGCTTGGGAGGGGGAGAGAGAGGGGGGACAACATGCAGCAAAGGGCCATGGGCCAAAGTTTAACTAATGGCCACTGTGGCAAGGATACTGCCTTCATACATGGGTACCTGCTTTTCCCACCGAGCTACAGGGCACCCCAAGCTTTAGTTTATTTCAACCTGGACCCTGTTTTTCTATATTCCAAATTTTTTTTTTTTTTTTTGTCAAAGTGACCCATAGGAATTTAGATATTGGTCCAGTAGGCTATTGAGCAAGAACACTGCAGCAAAATAGGTTACAATCAAGTCTAATCCTTCAGGGCACAGTCAGTGTATGTCCACAAAAGTCCTTGTTTTTTTGCCACTGACAGGTTTAGTTGTTATTATTTGTGTGTTCAAAAATAAAATGTTTTTCATTACCTTTTACTTGATTCAGTCTGTTTGTTATTGTGTCCATCCATCCATCCATCCATCCATTTTCATTCACTTATCCAGGGCCAGTTTGTGGGGGCAGCAGGCCAAGCACAGCACCCCAGATGTCCCTCTCCCCAGCAACACTTTCCAGCTCCTCCTGGAGGACCCATTTCTAGGCCACGTGAGATGTGTAATTCCTCCAGTGTGTTCTGGGTCTACCACAGGGCCTCCTACCAGTGGGACGTGTGGAACGGGAGGCTTCCTGATCAGATGCCCGAACCACCTCAACTGAACCCTTTCATTGCAACACTGAGCTCCCTCCTTATCCTTACTCTCTAAGGCTGAGCCTTGACACCCTTTCGGTCACTACCCAGGGCTCATGACCATAGGTAAGGGTTGGGATGCAGATGGACCAGTAAATTGAAAGCTTCACCTTCCAGCTCAGGGTTAGGGTTAGGGCTATGCTCAGGGTTAGGGTTAGCCCCATTCTCGGATCCCATTGGCTGTATTCAGTGTCTGACTTCAGGCAGACAGCGATACAGCCTCTGGGGGCAGACCCCCGATTTTTTGTCATTCCGGTTTGATTTGGGCAGAGTAGGCAAATTCCTTTTTTTTTTTTTTTTTAAAGATATTTTTTGGGGCTTTTAGCCTTTAATGTATAGGAAAGTCAAGTGTGAAAGGGGGAGAGAGAGAGGGAGTGACATGCAGCAAAGGGCCACAGGCTAGAGTCAAACCTGGGCCGCTGCGGCAACAGCCTTGTACATGGGGCGCCTGCTCTACCACTAAGCCACTGACGCCCCAGAGTAGGCGAATTTCTGTTTCTGACTTCTGTTTATATATAAGTAAATATGCTGAACCATTGCAATGGATTCAGAGTTTGCAGTGACGCCAATTATGATCCGCCTCGTTAGTTCACCGCATGGGGCATTTAACCTGGCAACAACTGCAGCCGGCTCAAACATGCTTGGTCAATATCACACGGACTACAAACAGCCCACAACCGGAAACCAGGGCTCTTCCGTTCTTCTTCCAGAGGCAAAATCTCCAGGGTTTGCCTACAGACTCTTCATTCATTGAATGTAGAGTCTGTATAGAGACTAGGGTTAGCCCTAACCCTCCAAAGCAGCACCTGCATCACTGCAGATGCTGCACCAAACCACCGATCCATCTCACACTCCATTCTAACTTCACTTGTAAATAAGACCCCAACATACTTGAGCTCCCTCACTTGAGGCAGTTACTCTCTCCCAAGTTTCATTGTTAAAAGTCTTGTGAGTTGAGTTGTTGTAGGAAGACAATGACAAACAGACCAGATTGAGCAAAAGGTACAGAAAATGTTTTATGTTTCTGTAAGATCCTTTCCATAATGTTGTCAGACACTAATTATAACAATCTGTGCCTGTCAGTGGCAAAAAAAAAGCACTTTTAGTGGACATACAGAATGTTGATGCACTGTATAAATTAATGGATATTTTTTTTATACTGATAATACACCTTGGAGTCAGATCAATGTCTTGAATTGTGTGGCAATGTCCCCTCCCCCATTCATCCCATTTTACATGAACGCAGCAGAAGTCAATTTTTGCAGTACATGACATTGTTGTATATAGACGATCTTCGGAGGCTTTCCTCCTTCCTGGGCGGAGCTTAAGTCGTCGTCGTCGTCGTCGTCCCCCCCCCCCCCTGCACATGTTTACTATTCAGAGCAGAGGGGGTAGCGGAAGATAGTAGGGGGGCTGGACTGGTGGTTGGTAGTGGTGACATTTCCTTCTGCTGCTGCATGTTTTAACCGTTAAACCAGTAACAGCGGTGGTGCCCACAGTAAGAGTTCTCGGAGGACACAACCAGCCGGTGAAAAATGCAGTTTAATTAAAGAAAGTTGCTTAAAGTTATGAAGACTAACCAGTGGTGTGGGAGCTAACTGGTTAGCCTGGTGCAGCAATAACAACAACGACTGAGCAGTGTTGTCCCTCATCTGCAGTGGTGAGTGTAAACTGTGTTTTTACAGCAAAATACCGCTTTTAAAAGTTTATTTTAGTCATTTACACCTGATGCTCATCGCTGTGACACAAGTGGACTTCATGTTGGATCTCATGAGGCAGGTGCATTTTCCTGATGGGTCGATTAGGGTCAGCATGTATGCAGCTGATCACACTATAACTACCTTTGCCCTGTTTTTATTATTTAATGGAACAGTTAAGTGTTAAATAAAATTATCAGTAGTGGGAGTGACTGTACTCATGTTTCCTGAGGAAAAATGAAAGTGTTTTTAAAAAAAAAAAAAGATACATGCAATAAAAAAAAGTGATTATTTATTTGTTTATTTATATTTTTACTGATATTAATTATTCATTATTATCTATTTATCTATTCGTATTATTATTATTATTATCATTATTGTTGTTGTTAATAATAGTAATAATATTAATAAATTAATTGATTACCCTTGTTTGCTAAAGATATACTCTTGAATACTGTGCCTAATTTTGTAAGTGACGGCTCAGCCATCCCTTCATTTCTGTCAAAGTCAAAGTGGCTCCAGAGGAGAAATGCCTCCTTGTGTCTGTCATCAAATGCCTCTTTTGCATTTTACAGACTCAAGCTGACACGAGAAAGCCATACTGTCTCACACAGATTTCATATTAATATACCCTTTTTCATTTTATGTATTTGGATGCCTTTAAACGCTCATTAATGCTGTTTGTATGGATGGTTGTGCCTCCTCCTCCTCCTCCTCACTATTCATTCCCTTGGTGCTGACCTTTACCCCATATGAAGCGCTTGGCTCTCATGGCAGCTGTCACAGACACGCTGTTTATGGGACACTGGCTGGGAAACGGAGCCTGCGAGGCCTTGCTGGCACAGTTAAACTGCACAGCTACCTTAATTCATTGATTTATCGGGCTTAAAGGGTGGAGCTGGTATGAAAAGGACCCTTTCTACTTGTTTTGTGTACGTCTTTCAAAGTTGAGTCTCACCTATAGATCCTATCTCAAATTACCCAGCATGCCCCTGACCTGAGAGGGCTTTTGACCTCCTATCACTGCAGGAGAAATGTCCTAAGACTAGAATAGTACACAGACAGCAATGCTACAGAGCTTTTCTTTATGTCCTTTTGACAGAGGACTGAATGTCTCTTACTTATTGTGCAACTGATACTGCTTATTTGAGGCTGATAGATTATACATTGGCACAAACAACAACAAACATTTATGAGAAGGATCCCTTAAATAGGGTGGTTATGGAAATTTGATAAAGATGTGTACTGAGTGACACATTTTACTGTTGAAAAATCAACTTTAGATTTATTAGTCAGTAAATCTTAGGTACGTGTGTGATTAATCGACTAGTCGAGTGAACGCTGCTGCTTTCACTGACCAGCACCAGGAATACTAGTCAGTTAAACTTATAATTAAACTGTTATTACATTATATGATTGCGTTCACCCAGTGAAAATGTTGTTATAATCATCAGGCATGTTTCCTGAAGATTTATTTTCCGAGAGAATATTGTTTTCATTAAATGTTGTAACTATTATTAAGTGAGTTGTCGTCATGTTTTGTAGGATAATATGAAATGTTCGTAACACATAGTGCAAAATGACACAGATTTCAGCAGTTTTTTTAAGTAGGATTTGGTTATTGAAAAATGTGATTAATGATTTCAAATGGCTCTTTTAATATAAACATTTTTTTTCTGGACAGTGTCTACCTTCATACATTAAATTGATGAAGTCCTGACTGTTTTGATACTTTTAGAATTGTTGACTAGTCTCAGTTTCAAATTCTGTTTAAACATCAGGGAAATTAGCTGTTAGGTTCATCCCTAATCAATACTGCATTTTAATGCTACAACAGCTATTATGATGATGGGGTGACAGATTTCCCATGATGAGCTATTTAAGCTGGCTCACTTATGATGTGTAGATGTTACTGTTATCTGTTGTATGACTCATAATGTCCTCTCTGCTCTTGTTGCAGGCTCAGGAGAATGTCTGTGAATGCTCCCATTTGCAGTTTTGGGAATTATCCTATGGATATCGTTGCTACTGTGGAGGATTAATAAGAAGACGGCAGCGATGCCCGTGAAAGGAGAGGAATCCTCTTCTGGCTGTGGTCTGCCTGCAGCAAAGAAGGATGTGCCTGCTACAAAATCCTCTCATCCAGGCAAACATTCTCAGTCAACAGCTCCTGCTACCTCAACACACAATGAGGATAACACTACTAAGGCCGCCAGTGCCTCTGCGTCTGGTCCTGAATTTAATGCAGTGGACACTGAGGCTCTGCAGGCGTCCTCTGAGGTAAAGTCAGGAAAGCCATCACTGCAAAAG